TAACGCTTTACTAAGATCGACAAAACAACGTCCTGGCTTCTGTCCAGTCTTCCATAGTTAACAGTAATTTTGCAACGCAGGATCGTCCTGGTCGGAATCCGCCAGTAAACCATGTTTTTCCACATGGGCTAATAGCTGATCCCGTATGATTTTTTCTATTACCCTTGCTATAATGCATGTCAGACTTACAGGCCGGTAGTCATATACCGATCGCCTTTTCCCTTCTTTGAAGATAGAGCTTATAATTGCGTCCTTCCAGTGCCTAGGTAGCCTAGCCTGTGTCAAAGACATTTTAAAAATCTCCAAAAGTGGAATGCACATTATATTCGCCTAGGAGACCATCAGTCCAGTGTGGAGTCCGTCAGGCTCTGGCGGACTCTGGCTTCAGTTTAGAAGCACTGTGTTATTTACCACAACTGGGGCATTACACTTGTGATGGTAGTCGTACGGTCAGACGGCAAGACATGACAAAAGTATTCAGAAAGGTTTTCAGCCTTTGCTTGCTTAACAAACGTCTTAATTTCATTACTAATCCAAGGCGGTTTATACGACAGCTTTCGATGGGTGGATCAAGGTACAAAATGTAAAGTTGCACATTCTAATATGCTCCTAAGTCTCGCCTAAGCCCCATCGATAGTCTCATTTGCATTCAGTGACCAGTGAGCTGAGGTTGACGCGTTCCACGTTGCCAATATTTTCGCTATACAGATGTTTGGAAGAGCAGTTATCGACCTAGGCATGGAATTATGGATTTAAAATATTAAAGTAATGACTATGTGGTCACTGCGTCCTAGAGGTGAACGGCTGCTGTATGCTGTATATAGAGGCTAATCTTCCTCGACCTTGCTTACTGAATCTTGAGTCCCTCAGAGTGCTGTTCTTTCTCCTTTTCTTTGTTCTTCCCTCCTACATGACTAGCCTGTTTCGGAGGGAATCGACTTCATCAAATACGCCTTGATCTGAATGTTCCAAATTTAGTAGCTTTTTGTCGATTATAAGCCAGTGGTTTAGGCTAAATTGAGTTATATTAAATCCTCCTAAATGTCAGATTATTAACTCCGCCTTTAGGCATAAACGTGATCTGCAAGAACTAGTTCGTTCACGTAATGCTTGTAGCATAGATATTACATGGTCGTACAACCAAGTATAGAACTCCAACGATACCATATTTGGCCCGAGTCTTATGTGACAGTTATAATGTTATTGGGAAAATTAATTGGCTCTTTTATCCTCTCCTATTGGTAATTTATGGTGATACTATTTCAGTCGGCTTACAGTTTTAGATATTATCAATGTTATCACCACTTGACACTTTTTGTACATTTTTGACTCTATTGTGACTGCTGATACTAAAAAGCTATTATTATCAATCCTGTAATGTTATTTTTGTTTTCGTTTTTGCTGTTATGGAGTAAATTGCAGGCAACTTTGTACCAGATGCTGAGAATTCCACACTGTATCATAAGTACTGTTTTGGAATAAAGCAAATTATTATTATGAAAAACATCCCTTTAATTAACTGAATCAGCGTAAAGACTTTTGATGTGACTTAAACAACAAGACCTGAAGTTGATAACAATATAATGAAAGTTAATGGACATTATCGATATGAAAAATTAGCGATAAACAAATACCCATTGTTTACATGTGGTAAGCTTTATAGTTACTCACTAATATCTTCGAGGAAAATACGGCATCGACTTGCACTAACAGTGTTGATCACTAACTAAGATTAGGTTAACGAAATTGTAATTTGTGCTCCCGATAGATAAGTAACGGGATGGTGTAAGGTAAAATGGGAATCATTGTCCAAGTTATGACTGATGTACAACTTATGGCTATCTACTGGGTTAGTTATACTTATAATCTGTGAGAATGAGCCACATGTAGGAAATAATCTGATGTTTAAATCACTATATCCATGAATACACGGATAAACACCTGGTCCCATAAAATTAAATGAAAAGTAATCAGTATGGCACATCTGTACCAAAGTTTACAACGATAAGCATCTACTTGTCGTTTCTGACTTTGCATAGTAGCGAAAGAAATATGTTTTAAAAAGTAAATGTAGGCTATAAGCTGATTTTATTCTTATTACTGTTATCAAATTCTTGTCTAGAATGAAATGAAAAAGTTGAAAAAAATCAATGAAGTATTTTTCCTTGTATGAAAATGGAATTGCAAACTGTGATAGAGTATAATTCCACAACCGAATGATTTTATCTGATGAAACACATGATGATACAGCACTATTTATCCGCCATTGACTGACACTATTATAAACAATAAATTTTGGTCGGAACATCTTCAGTAAGTAAATTATACTGTATCACTGTGTTTTATCAAGTAAAAATATTCTGTTGTGAAAGGAGTAGATTTCCGTCAACAGTATTGATTTGTTTATTTCACAGTGTTGATTTAATTAATAAACAAAATCATAAAGTAAAATAATCACTAGCCCACGTTACACTGAAGATGTTGTCCAGAAGGGTAATGAAAGATTCGCAATAAAATCATTCAGCTTAGAGAATACAACCACATCAAAATAATTCATACTAGTTACAAATCTTCGCTAGTAATGATTTCTATCAACTAATATTTAAGTAAAGAAGGAACAAACATTGTACAAGGGAATTCTCGCATGAAACTAATATTTAGTCAAACTGACTGAATTTCAACATAAAAACTTTGTGCGAAAGTGAAGCAGTTCAAGTAGCCACATTCACAACCACACTATTATGAGAGGGTGGGGGTGGAGAACGCATCATTTTTAATTTTAAACATGCATTACGCAGAAACGCGCTGCAGCGACAACAAGTACGTGGAGAATAGTGATACTTTAGTGGGACTGGTAGTTCATAAAGAGTGAATATATCTATACCATGCAGAACGATTTTGAGGCACATTATCAGCAGTTTCCAACCATCAGTCCTTATCGCCTGTTCAGCCGCAGTCAGACAGTATTCACCTCTCTGCCTGGCTGAGAGCAACAGTCAGAGTCCTGATGGATCGATGTCAGGCTTTGATTTAACCACTGCTAACTCTTTTGCGACGTGATCTGACATCGGAAAACTTGGAAGAGAATAGGTTTCTACGAGTAAGACCCATACTTTCTATCCCAACCCTCGTGGGTGTTCAACCGAATCGATTTGTTTCCCCTCTTCACCTAGACATTAAAAACCATAATAAACCACCGAACAAGGGAGGTAGGACGCTAGATACTGTGGTCAAAGACAGCCAGGGTCTTCAGATCTTCCACATTCAACAAGCACATCTTACAACCTTGAAGAGAAACCGAGCAAACTTTTGAAAAGTAAAAATTTCGTTCGATGTACAGCTTGATATCAAATCTTCGTTGAAGGTGACATAATTCTCTGTAATTGACGTTTGTATCTGTACTGTGATTCTATCAGCAATCGTTTAGCAGGGATAATGCAACTTTCAAAATAAGTGAAATAGTTAGCATGCCAGGCCATTTCACTGTTTGTGTTTAAATTACAAGCCAAAGAAGACGGTGTTATTTAATTTTTCAATCTAGTAGATAAACTCCAGTCGGTTTCATCATTGAAATATAAAATGGTAAATTATCTAGGGATTACTTAGTATTTGTATCTGTATAATAGAAAGGATTAGTCGCTCACTCAGTGCTTCTTTTGTGGAGCCTTTTACTTAAGTTTCACATAAAGATGTAACGACAGAAGGCAAGAGTCAGGCAACAGATCATTTATTAAGGAAATCAACGCATATTTATATATTTTCATGTACATTACTATGGATATTTAAGCAAACAAACACAGTCTTCCGATTGGTTGTTTCTCACGTAAAGTTAATCTTTCATCTATTTGTGACTGTTTCTTGAATGTCAAATCCTCTATATGTTAACTGCATCCGCCTACTCAAAGTCAGTCTTTGTTCACATTTCCTCACGACAAATCTTGGGAACGTAAATATTGACGTAAATTACTGTCTACCAATTTGGCTAGTAGACAGCTCTCACCACAGAGTCCAAATCACCGAGCTATTGAGATATTTTTAGAATTGGGTGCTAAATCTCGGTGACAAGTATGGCGCAGTGTGGACAAACATGAAGAATAGAGTCTTGAGGATTCAACATAGAGTAGCTTTCAAGTTGAGCGACCGTGTAAATAAGGTTTGGTAAGCTTTTATGCTAGATACTTATTCCGGAAACTAAGAGACGTTCATCAAAAATATTAGAGGCTACTTACCTCTTTAAAATAACATTTTCATATTTTTCCTAGTCATAAGTATGGCAATTTACCATTTTTACGGTGTTTTCAGAATAAAGGCTTCTCTGACTGGTTGTTGGAGTGCCACTTTCTCTGTATTAGTCAACAAGGTATGCTCGAAAGGTCATTCATTTCATTATGTTATATCAGTGCATGTCACATGGAGTAAACTGATCTAGCTTGGAATTACACTGTGTCACACTATCAATATGTTACCTTTATTGACTGTCCACTTCAGTCGATATTCTTAACATTGGCAATAATATAAATACTAGGTGTGCAGCCTTCTGTTGACCACATTTAACGGATCAATGTCAAATTTCATGTTTTTCGTTTCTCAGTAATAAGATATTGAAGCGATGTATAGACTCCGACACTGGTGGTTACATATCATTCTGGTTGAAGAACCTTATAAGTCAGAAGCTAATTAAGTCACAAGTGTGAACTACCACGGTGTTTCAAACTAATTTAAGATGGAATTATTTTTATGTTGATAATTATGGTAAGTTGAACAGTCTTAAATTTAACACACGAAAGGAATTATTTGTAATTTCTAGCTATTGGATATCGCAATACGACCACTATGTTTTTTCTTTTTTTGGCTTTCACTAAGAGACATATTTCTCTCACAGATGTTCTAAGGCACATTCATCAAGAAAATTGCAGTCAGTGATCTTTCTTGTGATTGCTATTGGTTGATCGTAGAAGAACAATAAACATTTGGATTTTTCAAGTTTTCAAGATGTAAACTTTATTTCTTATTTTCTACACTTTTGAAGTTACTCTTATGCTATATTTGTTTTTACATTTATTGTAAGTTATAAATATTTAGTTTGAAAGCTGAGATAATAATGATATTGCTTCTAAAATGTTTGTTTTAGGGATAGAAGCCTTTTATACTTTAAAAAAGAAATAATACTATATAATATACTAACAATAGTTAGAAATGTCTAAAGAAAATTCTCCATACATCCAAGTTGAAAGAACTCTTGTCATTATCAAACCTGATATTATTCATCATGTAAATCAAATTGAAGAATTTATTCTACAAAAAGGATTTTTTATTATACAGGTTAGATGGAAATTAATTAGTTTATTTACATCTGAAAAAATCTCTTACAGAAACGACGTGTTCATTTAACACCAGAACAAGCTAGTGAATTTTATGCTGAACACTATGGAAAAATATTTTATCCAACATTAATTGCTTATATTAGCAGTGGGCCAATACAAGTGTTAGTCATAGCTAAAGAAAATGCCATATCTTTTTGGCGTGAATTAATCGGTCCACAGAACGCACTGAAAGCTAAGGCTGTTGCACCTGAAAGGTTAACAAATTGAATTTAAATTTTGAAAAACATATAGTTTAAGAGCCATTTATGGTACAGATGACCAACAAAATGGAATACACGGAAGTGATTCATTTACAAGTGCTGAAAGAGAAATACGATTCTTCTTTCCAGACAGTAAGTTGTTTATATACTACATTTTTTGAAGAAAGAAATATAAACATGAATAATTCAAAGAACTGGATCTGTCTGATTTTAAGTAGTTGATTACATAAGAAAAGGGTGTGATCTCCATATTTTGAATGCATCAGACGTGGACTGTACAGTTTGACCTGCAGGTGTAATAACTCAGTCCACAGAATATAAAGTCAGTAACTCAAGAGTGAATCTTTAGCACTTTTTGGTGACCCAGATTCAGTCTTTGGCTTCATTCATCACTCCTTTGTATCAAGTTCGTCTGTTTCCCTATTTTATGGTCGATGATTTAATTAATTAGGACAGAAGAAAAAGGGCACAATGAGAATACGTGTTTTTGAATTTGAAACAAGTTATATTGAATATTATGTTAGTGTTTATTACTATTATTCAAAACATTATTATTTTCGTTCCTCCGTGTATTATTTACATACACTATTTAAACCACATTTTGATTCCTATATTACTGTGAATCGCTGATTAACGCGCTAAAGTTTTCCTATTGTTACAAACAAAGAAATCGTAATACTGATGAGCGACATATCAGTTTACGAAACACGTTAATATGAATTGATTTATTCGTTATTCGGGTACCTACACTAAAGAATGTTTCGGAATTTATTAGTAAGTAATATGCTCTAAATTCGATAAACAAAAGCGGTTTTCATAAACACTGGAGGTGAAATTAAGATAATTACTTGGGAGTTATGTAAGGTATTAGCTATGAAATTAATTTGTGGAACTTTACAAATAGTGACCTATTTACCATTCCTTTTATTTTTAAATTTCTCCTATTATTTTAGCGGTTGTTGAACCAATCCCTGTACGACTCGCAGCCAAAGATTATCTAGCCAGAAATGTAAATCCAACATTACTCAGAGGTTTAACCGAATTGTGTAAACAAAAACCAAAAGACCCAGTGGTAAGTTACTGCAATTTTAAAAAGGCTATTTTATTTAAACATAATCGCATATAAATATATACATTTGCAGGAAATACCAGTTAACGATCTCCGTATTCTGATTAATGGTTTCACTTGGTTTTTCTCATTAATTTGTTGAATTTATGCGATTTGGTTTATCTCAAGGTATACTTCGTCTTGAAGTCTTGAGTCATAGACTTTAAGGCTGATGGTTGAGTGGTATTAAGCCCTTTCCAAGACGTGATGCTCCTCTGCTTGAATATTTGTGGAATTATAAGTGCCCGCTAGCACAGTCTTAAGTCAGGGCAAAGCATCCAAATAGTGCCGTTTGGTTTTCAGAAATTTTTAAACTGGTGTTGTTCCTTGATCAAAACTACTTAAGATTTCCTTGAGGATATTCTTGTATATCTTCTACTGGCCTAGTTAACTGAATTAATAATACCTTGGAAAACTGCTTTCTATTTGGAGTTATCCGTCCATCAGTTTGAGTATTGGTATAATCAGGTGGTTAACATGTCTGTTTATGAATTAAAGGTATGATATGACCAGCTCCTGAAGCAAACTAAAGCAGAATAAAATTTATTAATTTCTTCTAACATTTCACTAACCAAAATCCATTACGGCACAATTCAGTATTTCTCCACTTATATGCATATTATTTAAAAGTGTAGAGGGTAGCAATAATGCATCTTTGTACTATGGTCTATGTTGATCTGCAATTATGTGACTGGCCAAATAAGTGCTTAGTCCTATGAAATGGAACTATATCACCTTTCACTAGGAAATAACTAATATAATGAGTCTAGTACTCGGTGTTACTGCAGACTGAATTGTATCAGTCAATTTTGCAATGTAGTTAGCAAGCTAGGTAGCTCACCATCTCACGGCACCCTGAACTGATATTAGATAGGTGGGGGCAGTCGGCAGGCAGCTCTGAACTTAGGTTTCGTGTTAGTTGGCACTCACCAGTCAGTAAGGCGTATCTGCAGCCTTGAGGGAATTTATGTCTACCCTGAGTTTCGAACCGTCCTTACCTAATGCTGCAGTCATTCATTTATGATAGATTTGTGAGTCCCAACAGACTAACAATAGATTAAACGGCGCATTTCTGAGATGGCAATCACATCGAAATCAGTGGATTTTACATGTCTACGAAGCACTGAATAATTTAATGTATATTGAAACACCTAAGATTTTGCAAAGTTGTTTCAAAATAAAAAGAATGAAAAAGTCACTCTTTTTTCACGTGCATTTGCATTAGCAGTCATCAATAAGCAAAATGGTAAGTTGTGGATTTTCCTGACTTCACAGTTTTTAAGTTGTGAAATTATCTAAGCAAAAGGTACAGTATTAGATTAGTCAGATAACAAAAAAAATGATTGACTCATATGGATACTTGAGTCAACCCTATGCATTTGTTAGTTGTTCACTGTTCTCTCCAGGTATATATACATATATATATATATATATATATATATATATATACAGAGTAATCAAAAGCTAGATGAGGTGCTGAATAAAATTTAAATACACTGGAAGTTCAAATCTTAATATGAAAAATTCCCAGGGTATTCAATAGATATCTTACTGACACATTTTGTATAAGTTTTACTGAAGAAATTAGTCCTCACTATCAGATACAGATGAACGGAACTGGAAGTTTTCTGGGAGCCCAGGTTTCCTGCCTCCTGTTACAGATGTTGTGATATACTGAATGGTGATAACAATATTGCTACTTAACTACTGTTCTCAAGTCTTCTTTTTAACCATCAATAATTAAATAAACGAACTAGTGTAATGATTTGTACTACACTAACTCAGTTACTTTGACTAAGGCAGATCCGCCTTTTCAACTTGGTGAATTCTATATTTGTAGGAAAAGATGTAATAGTAGGGTTTCTGTATGCTGCTATTTACTTCGAAAAAGTTTTCTTGGTGGAAATACTTGATAATGTTGTGGTGGAGTGATACAGATAATATGTTATTATGGAATATTACTTTCACACATTCCCACAGTTCAGTACTGTGTTAGCAACAGAATACTATATATATATATATATATATATATATATATATATGTAGAGGTTTGATCACTTTAAAATATATCTTGACTTTCGTCTCTTGCCTTCTGCTGTTACAATGTGAAGTATGTTTCGGACTAACTTAATGAGTATGTGGTTGTGGTCATCTCTTTTGAACTTATGATATTACTATTATTATTAGTGTCGTAAAGTAATTGACAATTTGATTGAAAAGACTAACAAATAAACATGTTTAATCTCTAAGTTAGTCATCATTATGATCTAAAAATCCCACAGCGTCTACGTTGTAGCTTTGAACAACATACAGTTTTGTTCTAGTTACATTTACATTTACATCCATAGCTCTATTTTGTCACATTCAGTTGATACTGAACATATAGTGTAGAAAACAAAAGCTTTCAAGGTAATTCATTGCATCTCACCGAATCTTTCCAATAGACTTCGTATTCGTCTACTGCACACAGCTGAGGCATTAGGCATTCAAACTATTAAGACTAAACTATGTATTCAAAAGAAGTTCGTACAGCCACTATCCCTCCCTTGGACGGTTGAGACCTAACCAACTGATGACTTCTACACCACCCCTTACTTATATTTCACCCACTCTCTTATTATCCCTTTATCCTACCACACCTTTACTAAAGCGTATTTTATTTACTTCCCTTACAATCTAGCATTACTTAATCAGTTCATTTGTTTTTCTTAGCCTTTATCGACTATTTCTACTTTGTTTAATCATGCTGTTTTTCGTAACTCGTGTTGTCACATATCGCCTCATTTTTTCATCCTTGTTATTGATAGAAAGATTATTATTATCATCATTATTATTGTCACTACTGTTATTATGACTAATTGCACAGTTACATTTTGTTTTTCTTCCTAATTCATTTAGTTGTGGTTAGCCGACTGGTTATTGGAAAATAATCCAAACAAACCACGTCTAAGCGATAAATCGACAGTTTATCAACATTTGTAACCAATACATTCAATGTTGGAAGTTGTCATTATAAAAAAAGAGTTCTTCTACGGACCAATCACTAGTTTCAAAGAATGTATCAATAAACACTGCAATTTAATGTTCCTTATTCTAATTTACCTTAAATGAAGAGCCTGAAAGAGATATTCTCATAAATATTCCAACTTTTCCTGAAATGGAAGAGAGGGTGCAAAATTTTAGACGAAAAAAAAGAAATTTGGTGTATGTTATGGAAGGATTAACTGAATTAGATGGAGGACTGTTAATACAACCTTTATATTTCGCTGAAATTCTTTTGCTTCATAATAAGTCACACGATTTGTAAGGCCACAGTGGTTAGGGATCGACAGAGAATATGTATTCATCAGCATCTCAACTAGTACGTAATAGCAGTTACTAGTGTGTAATAATCGGCGTGATTTAAAAAGAGAATCAATCAACAGACTTTACGGAGATCCCCATATGATTTTCCTCTTTTGGAAGGAGATTAATTGGGGTCACCCTAGAAGTACACTGCCTGTTCCCTATGCCTGGTTGGTCAAAGTCGAGGGAGTGGACTGCTGTCATCAGAAGCTCCTATAACTTCTCCCAGTTGCATTCCGAATGTATCTAGGGGGAGACCGCTAGTTGTTGTCATATTATCAGGAGGCAGTCGCCTTCGCAGTTGGTTCTTGTGTTGTGTCCACTTCTCTTCCAAATGTAACATCTTACATGGTAATTCCACGTCTGTCGTCTATCAGTCCTCCCATCTATTTACTATGTCCTGTTCTGTAGTCTCTAGCAAGCATAGGTGTTCCAACTAGGAAGGATATTAAGGGGCGATAGGTAACTTAGCCGCAGATAACTTAAGTATTAAAGTATTATGTACGGCTCGTAGCGTCCTCGCCATCAGTGATTGAGAAACTGTGGCACAATTGTGGCCACGCTTGGGAGCGTTCGAAAAGCGTTGACGAAATCTGCATGAATCCTGGGTTAGATTGCATACTGTAGTTAGTAGTGACTCTGATAATCGAAGACTCCCAAACCAATCAAGGCCCAGAAGACTTTGTTTCATGTCGGGAATACAGTGTAGGACTGAATTTGCTTACAGGTTTTTGTCCTCACTATCAGTGCAGGCATTTCAGAGTCTAGGCCTCACTATAGTCAAAACTCAGGTGACTTAACGTAAAGTTTATCCGTTTCTAAAATAGAGAGAAAATAATGTAATTACACAAAGATAACAATACAAAGGCAAATGACTTCTAAGGAAGGACAAAGAAATACCGAACAGTATTGATGGTGGGATAAAATGGTTGGGGGATTGCATTTACGTACGTATAAGGAGACAGATACAACACATACAAGATCAATCTCAAGTGGTGGGTGTTTACATCGAAATAACCAATCATCACATAATAGAAGTTAATACAACATTTCAGACAGTGTTATACAGTAATATTAACTGATGACGTTTCGAGCACAAACCATTGCTCATAATCATATGATATGATTATCAGCTTGCAGTGGTTTATAAAGCAATAATTAAAATTGATCGATGGAGAGCAGCAGTGTCTGGCAGGTCATTTATGCAGGGAATCTAAGGATTTCTAGCTAAACAGATTAATATCTTAGACAGTGTAAAAGTCAGGCATGAATGCCTATAATTATTATCACATCCTTGAGGAAAAGGGACCGTAACTAACTTGAGTAAACGCATATGAAATCTATACAGTGTCACGCCTAACTGCAGCCGTATGGCAGTAAATCCATGTGGAAAAACAATTTTCAATGCCAGACAAGGATACATCAAATCTTGGAATTCAAGAGAATATTTGGCCTACCGGTACTAGCTATATTCATTGATATGAGTGTTGTTTTTAACTTCGTTAATCGGGAAGTATTATTTTAGTGCCTTTCACCAAGATGAAAAAATGATTGTCATACAATAATCTTCCTTGCTGAATGTGAACAAAGTTACTTGTGGAATGTGTCGCATAAAAATGTCACTTAGTTATGATAAGTAAGTTGGGTGGACGATTTTGTTCGTAAATCTCACAAACTTCCATGGAAGACGAAATCGAGGCATAAATGCAGAATGATCTTTTGACTTTCATCAGACCATCTTATCCATGGCTCGTATGAAATATGTGGTTGCTTATGGAAGGTGGAATATACTGCATAGGGGTGCAGTGTGTCCTGATGAATGATTTCGGAATGCGATCACTGTAAATAACAATCTGCGGGAACTTCAGGGATTCGATCATCATTGCTTTAGCCAGACACAAGTTTCAAGGTAAGATATATTAGTCTGCAGGATGTATGTACGTCTATCTACAAAAACTTTTAGATCATGCTGAATGGTCGGAGGGAACAAATAAGAATCCCTGGACCTAGTTTAGTGTTCATTGGCTTTCATAAGGAGATAATATCTGTGATCTCGAAGAAACTGTTGTCCTACATCATTCATTGCTGCCGACAGATGTTGCTACCAAGCTATTAGGGTTATGTTATGAGCGTTTCTACTCACGATCTGCCTCAGAGTGTGATGTTGAAGGAAAGTTGAGTTGGGAAAAAGTTAAGGCTGTCGAGAACATGAATCCAGTAGGTGCTAGTATAAGGCAAGCATAGATTGCCCATCTTGGGTTCATGTAGCCACTGAAACTCATGAATACAGAATGTAGGTAGAATACCTCAGGATCTATTGCACTGGGGAAGACGAATTTAAGTATGTCATTTCTGTTGCTTATAACAAATAAATTCCTTATTCTCCAAATCTACTGAATTTTGTTCCACCCATCTTTATTTCTGTTTGTTTCCTCACTTTTATTCCCTTCTGGCTGATATGCAGCTATAAGGTGCTGCAGATTAAACCATTACACAGTAAAGGTAGGGCCTGCATTGACAGGTCTGTGTCTATTGCTCTAAACCTGTATTTTTTGTCTAGACTTGCAACCAATAATACACACTTTTATGTTAAAGCTATTCTCTCGCAAATAGCTTGAGTATTCATCGAATTATTCCTATTAAAAATGAAATTTTTTCAAAAGTGGCAGAATTTCTTTCTCAAAGTTTGAAGCAAATATTGAATGAACGAAATATTCTCATTTTAAGTTATAAGAGAAAGACGTAAACAGCAAAGAAAATTTTCTTTTAAATGATTCATTTTCATAAGTTGTACAATCGTAATTATATTTAACAAAGAATTCATAAGACCAATCAGAAAATGGTAAAATTCGTCCTCGAAAATGTATTACGCAATGTAAGGTGTAATCTAGAAGTGGTGGCTAACTGGAAATTAGAAAAGAGGCAGAAGTTGGGATGACGTAATAAGTGTGAGAAAACGGCTAATCAGTATAATTGTGTAGAGTGGACGAAAAACTAGCGGAGAGACGAGTGTTTTTATACAATCTATATGAAAATTGTAATACTTATTTGTAATTGTATTTCATAATGACCGAATCACAGGAAACCAAACAACAACACAGAGTTGGTGGAATCTAGTAATTTGCATATGGCACAATTAATTGTAATTTACATAATAAATATTAACAAACAACAGTAAGCGTTTAAACAGTACTGTAACAGAAATTGTCAACCACCACAAAAACGCAATATTATTAGCAAACAGTAATAGAGTGGTAATAAATTAAGAATAATGATAATAACGATGACGATAAGAAAAATAATAATAGTACACTTACTCTATCCATGGTAAGGTGAGTGAAGCATGTAGAGCTTTTGAATGCAGAGGTCGGGTTTCAGATCCCGAATAGTCAATGATTCAGCTATTTACAGATAGCGTATTCGACATCCTTTCGTACGATATTGAGGAATTCTGAGTAGCACTTAGAAGCATTCATGCGAGAGTGGTCGTCAAAAAGAAAACTTTCTTCATAAATGGTTAAAGTAAAAAGTGATATATTTTCATAGATTCACGTTATCTGAAACCTGGTAATTAAAGGAAAATTAACATTAGATTGTTGATCTAAAAACTCTTTTAAAGAATAAGATTTAGCTTAGGCTTCAGTGCTGTGGGTCTGCAGACGTTAAGCAGTAAAATTTATCTTAGTGTAAACCATAAAGCACTCACAATCACTGAATCTTATCCAGTTACCTTACAATTTTAAGAAATATTCTTTGGATCGATAGGCACAATAGCCTAATATTTATTTAATGACAGTGAAACTTGATACACAGCATAACTCGAACCGCTGGCTTCTGAATTACAGGTATGGCACTGAAAAAATGTACAGGTAGGAGTTTTTAGTTTATTACTTATAGCAAGTGATTATTTTCCACAAAGTTTCATGCTATGACTTCCGGTTACTTAATAAAGGAAGATAGTTATCAGGCGGAGTTTATCTATACTGTATGCTCATTAGAGAGATAGATATCTGAGAAAATTTAGGGAAATTCATATTACCTTCACATGCAAGATTGCATCGTTCAGTCGTGGGTTTTTACTTATGACTGCTGTAAGACAGAATGACTTTAAAATATCTAAAAACAGTAAGTGGCGGTTGATGAAGCTATTGAGGGATGATAAAGACCTGACTATGCAATTTACGAATGAGCTAATTCACCTATTTCATATCAGAAAAATAGGAATGCAACCACCTGGTAGTCCAGCACTGTGCTTGTGTTACAGCAAGCTTGTTTAATAAAAGAGGCCTAGGTACAGAGTCAACGGTAGACGTGTAACCTAGGAAGGCACAATATTTCACAAATTCCAGTTCAATAAAACGCGGATATTTCGGATCATTTTACTAAAGGCCGTTTTTCAGTCAGCAAGATTGTGAAGGTACATATTCAGAATTCAGAAATGTGCTAATCTGAGCCCAATACAGTTTTCAAAAACACCTCTGGGCTCTGTATTTATCTTTTTGCTTTCCGAATGTCTAAATGGGGATTTTTTTCTATATTGAAATCCGTGAATGTTGGACTACAGTAGCCAGTAAACGAAAATCAAAATTTTATGAGAAACTGTAATGAGATGGTGTTAACAAGGTCTTCTGTTTATTTGGTCAGATTGAGAATTTAAGAATTCTCAGTTTATTGAAACAGAAATTATACATACTTGGTGATCACTTGTTATATTTCGAAATACTCATCTATGTAAGACACCACCTGAACAGAGTCTTCCTCCATAGTATTATACGTCTAACAAGTCTATATTTCAGTGTCTTTGGCTCCGTTTTCAATTCCATTGAATAGGAAAAAGT